TCTTTTTGTAGTTAATAAATCTATCTTATATTTTACCTAGAAACAATGTGGTTTGAGTGAAGTGCTTGGGGAAAAATCTCAGCTCAGTTAACAAAAGCTTGTGTATTGTCCTCTCCACTTTAAGGGAGGGTCGGACTGGGTAATAACTCATATACTGGTCAGGCTTTTGACCAGGGCAAGACGCTATAGCTCTGGGGTCCTAGGCTGTGGAGCTGGAGGGTGAGATGGCTGGAATCACTCTATTGTTAGCTCATGAGTGGTGGAGGAGAAGCTGTCATGTAACTGCAACTGGGTGTGTCCCTGCCTATGTAAAGGTTTGTGCGAATGCAGGACCAAGAGTGGTCTGCAGCTTGTCACACCAGCACAGTGTGAGAAGGAGCCCAGGCTGGTGAGACAGAGGATTCAGCAATACCCCAGTTCCAGGTTGCACCCGTGGAGGGGGGAGGGGGAGAACCCATCATAAGGCCATAGAAACTTACCTTGTGTTTTCTGCATCAAACCCATCACCTCTTTTCGTGCTATAGCACAGAGGTTCTCAACCTTGTTCTTTCTGAGGCCCCTCCAACATGCTATAAAAACTCCATGGCCCACCTGTGCCACAATAACTGGTTTTCTGCATATAAAAGCCAAGGTTGGCGTTAGTGGGTAGCAAGCAAGGCAATTGCCTGGGGCTCCATGCCACAGGAACCCCACAAAGCTACATTGCTCAGACTTCAGCTTCAGCCCCGGGTGGCAGGGCTCTGGAACCTGAGCTCCAGCCATATGCGATGGGGATTCGGCTTTCTGCCCTGGGCCCCAGCGAGTCTAATGCAGGCCCTGCTTGGAGGCCCCCCTGAAACCTGCTCTAGGCCACCTAGGGGGCCCCGGACTCCTGGTTGAGAACCACTGCTATAGCATCTCTTTTAGAAAGACACCCAATCTTGACTTAAACTGCAAGTGATGGAGAATTCCTCTTGTCTGATGCCCTATTCCTCTTCTTCAAGTCATATCAATAACCTAGATTATAAATTCCTCAATGCAAGGATTGTGTCTTTACAGAGAAAATAATGTGGTATTTATGCCTAAAGTGCTATGTAAAAGTGTTAAATAATAATAGTTAATAGGCAGTTGTGGCACCACGAATAGAAGTGTGCAAGGAAAGCTTAGATTTTTAAGTCTAGAATAAATTTCTTCCTGCTTCATGCAAATGACAGGCAAATGAGTGCCTGTCATTTATGATAAGATTCAATTGGAATGCTGAAGGTTGGTTGCAGTATTAGGGCCCTGTTCTGCTGCCATTCCACAACTAGAATTGCTACAGAGATGGCTCACCACAGAGTTTCTAGGTTTATCATTCCAGTCTGCAATGCAGAAGGAGGCCCACATTTCAAATTTACACTGTGGGTTTTATATGGGGACTGAGCCCTTCCATTCCATTAATATTACTGGGAGTTGTGTCTGAATTTTAGTGCTAAAAATGTACCCTACGGTGTAGAAATATTTTTTTTTTATAGACTAAGAGCGGATTATAGTCGGATGTAAAACAACATGTCAGTTACACACTCAAACTGCCTGGGAGAGTTAGAAGAAAGGTTCTAACAACAAAGCTGATGCCCAGTTTCAGCATAGCTTGTTAACATTTCTTTTTACTGAAGACCAAAACATTAAAAAAAAAAAGACAAATTCCAAAGTCTTTTAAAAAGACACTTTTATGCATTGCTCTCCAGGAACATTACATGGAGTTACCTGATTACTGTCCTTTATGGAAGACAGGTGTCAGGAACTAAATAGGTTGATAGTATCCCTTTAAGGCAAGATGATTTTTTTTTAAATACTAAAGAAAGTCTAGAGCAGGTGTCTGCAACCTTCGGCACGCGGCCCATCAGGGTAATCCGTTGGTGGGCCGCGAGACATTTTGTTTATGTTGATCGTCCGCAGGCACGGCCCCCCGCAGCTCTCAGTGGCCGTGGTTCGCCGTGCTGGCCACTGCTTCCTGCAGCTCCCATTGGCTAGGAATGGCAAACTGCAGCCACTGAGAGCTGCGGGGGGCTGTGCCTGCAGACCATCAATGTAAACAAAATGTCTCGCAGCCCACCAGCGGATTACCCTGATGGGCCGCGTGCCAAAGGTTGCCGACCCCTGGTCTAGAGCCACCCTATGTACAGAATCTCTGTATTAGTGCCTAAAGCTGACAGTAGATGACGGTGGGGAAAATTATGCTTTAGTTATGAGCTAGAGAGAGTAGTCAACTGAAGCAGGAGCAAAAGGGAGTAGAGGTGGGCATCTGCAGAGATGGGCTCCCCTTGATAATATCTTACAGAAGAAAAATTACTTTCTGTGCATCAAGCTGAAAGGTGTCTGCAAAGAGAAACTGAATACAGTTCCCTAGATCTCCTTGGATGCAAGTGCTTATAGGGCTGAAACACCTTCCAGTTCTCAGAGGTAGAGAGGAATACACCACCCACTCGGAGAGGGAACTCTGACTCCAAATGCAAAATTTCCTGATCTCCACAAAGATAGCCGGTATAGGAGATGATTTAGGATTCAATACATATGGTCCTGAGAATAGATTGCAGAGACTAAAAATCCCAGTTCCTTTAACATATCCCAGTGGAACAACAGATTAAATAAATGTAATGTACTTGCTCCTGGTAGCATTGCAATGTGTATCTGCTGTGTGATGGTTCTCAGATTTTAAAGATGTATATGGTGGTGGTGGTAGCAGTAGCAGGGACCTACATTAAAGTAAAAATTACAGTTCCTTTAGTAGCAGCCAGGGGCGGCTCTAGCTTTTTTGCCGCCCCAAGCACAGCAGGCAGGCAGCTTTTGGCTGCATGCCTGCGGGAGGTCCACCGGTCCTGCGGCTTCGGCGTACCCACCACCGAATTGCCGCCAAATCCATGGGACCGGTGGACCTCCCACAGGCATGCCGCCAAAGGCTGCCTGACTACCGCCCTCGCAGGGATCGGCAGGGCGCCCCCCGCGGCTTTCCGCCCCAGGTACGCGCTTGGAGTGCTGGTGCCTGGAGCCGCCGCTGGTAGCAGCTACAGAAACTAAGACGTCCATGAGTCTAGGCAAGCGTAGCCTAATTCTTACTCATGAAAAAAAATAACTCATAGCCCCCTCTTCCCTGCCACCCAAATAAGGTATATGCCCTCCAGAGGAGCCATCATACAGACCCCAAATCACATAATATTCTGAAAGTCCTTAAATTCCATTGGCAACAGAAATATTCCTCGGACCCTGCCTCAAAAAAAACATTGGCTTTCTGCTGCCTAAGATTTTTTGTCAAGGCAATAAGGAATGTTTTCTGCTGAGGATTTACCTTGAGGTCCTATCCCTAGCGCATTTGGCTGTCAAAAAATTCAAGGCCCTGTTTGCTCACAAAACTACCCATTCTGCATGTGCACTGCTTGTTGGTATGTGGAAATCATGTGACATGTTCACTTAGTGGATCTTAAGAAATAAGAGGCTGAAATAAGGGGCTGAAAGCTAAGGTTTCTACAACCTGCAAACTTCAGTCTCTGCTATATCTGCAGGCTGTTCAGTTCCTTGGAAGCCAGTGACTGGTCACCGTGTTTGGCAAATTCAAACTGAAGAGGGAAACTCTTTGATCTAGGCTGTTAAATGAGCAGGAGCAGAAAATTAAAGCTTTACAACTCCACTGTACGTGCTACCAAATGAGGCATGACAAAAGTCTGGTATAGTTTTAGAACAACAATAATGCAAATATAATCAAATAACCATTCAAAAGTGGACGCAAATTGGGAGGAATAGAAAGGGAATAGTTCATGTTTCTAAAATGCTTGGATTAAAACATATACTGTAACAATTAAGTCACAGATTATATCTATTCTGAAAAAGAGATAACGTGAGCCACAAATATTTCCATCTTTCACAATACACTTCCAAGACCATCCTGAAGGGCAACATGATTGACCTTATCTACCGTTAAAATACTAAAAATTGCGAGGGGGGAAACCCCTTTTAAACAAAATATCATTAAGTGTTTACTAAAGTGCTCATTTGACAGTCCCAGTTCAACAGTACAGCTTCAGACCAAAAGACCCTCAGGCTGGGTGGAAACCAAAGAAATCTGTAACAATTTCAGTAGAATCCATCCATCATCGTCAATGTTTTCTACGCACAAAAGAAAATTGGGAAAACCCTTTTTCCTGACAAAACTATGATTAAAAAAAAAACCTACGCAGGTCAATGAGAAACTGAATATCATCTCCTGAACAAGGACTGGGCTCTGCAGGCACAAAGACCATCGTGCTTCCACAGCTATCCACCATGGAAAGCCTATTTGAGTGTGGGCAGAGATCTTTTTGGTGAAAAAAAAGTAATGGTGAAATTATGATTTATCCACATCTATCTCCATTTGCTCATCAAAATAAGAAATGTAAATTAAAAACAGACAGAAGACCAATGACTTGCGGTGTAACTTTTTCAAATCACTTAACCATTCTGTGCTTAGTTTTCCAATATGCAGAATGGAAGCAACACTTACTCAACTTTGTAAATCACTTTCAAATCTTCAGATAAAAAGTACAAAAAGACAAATATTCCCTACCCTGTAAATTTTCTGTTTTTGAAATCGTCTGTACCAGACCAAATGCATGGATTAGTGGCCTTAATACAGATTTTTAAGGTGATCTTCTGGGCATCAGCCTGCATCTTTGCCAACCATTCTGAAATAGATGTGCATGCTTTCACAGATATGGACTTTGGCAAACAGTTGCTGCAGGCAACCCAAATATATAAACTGCCTTGGGAGGTCACAAGTGGAGGTGATCAGAATTTTTTTTGACAAATGCAGATTTGTGGAACTTGAAATGTTTTGTGAAAATACTTCAAGTTCAATGAATTTTTGTCCCTGCCTGCATCCCTACCAACTCACTTAGTAGTATTTCTGTGTATTTCTAGATTACCTATATTTCAGTATCTTGGTACCAATAAACTTTCTGACTGCAGAAGATTTTCTGTAGTACATGCAACGTTCCAAAAAAAAACCTTACCTCCCCAAAGGCTCCTCGACCAATCACCTTCAAGATTTCAAAATCTTCTTTATGTAGTCGCATCTGTTTCACCTTAGAGGTAAAAGGTTTGGCTGAAACAAAGGAAAATATCAATCATTAAAAAATAGGTAACATTAATAACATAAAATATTAAGTTATAAAAGCCCTGAAAATAACAGAACATTTTGCTTATATACATCTATTCCCTAAAGTAATATTACAAAATATAAAGCTGAAACTAATGACCAGTAAGAGCTAAGCCAAACTTTCTGTCTGCTTTGAAAGGAAATTTATGGAGTACATATTTTTTACAAATAGAATCAAGCTGCCTATATCCTTCTACATTTCTTATAAATCCACACAGTGATTTTCAATATAGTAGGTTTCCAAGTGTTATAGACCTGTATGTCTGGTTGTGAAAATATAGTATGGTAAAATTATTACATCACTCTGGACAGAAATATGCTAACTTCTACACTAGCTCAATATTAATGATCAATATTTTACTCTAAGGAAAATTAAAGTGCTGATGAAAAGGTGCTGGACTGCTAGCACTGTCCCATGAAGGTATATCAATACATACTTGCTCAGAGATCACTACTTTATGTGCAAGGGTTAATAAATTAACCTTTAACCCTTGGTTCAGTATGTTTGCTTGGGGTTTTTTGCTTTGACCTCCATTTCTGTCCAAACTCTCTTTCTAAGCCATATATTTTTACTGTATTATATTTTATTTTAATTTGGTGACCAAACTTGAACAAAACATTTCACACACAGGTAATTATAGTGTTTATATATAATATTTTTTGTATTTTTTCCCCAGAGTCAAGTTTATAAACAGCAGACTTTTTCCAAAAGAAAATTTGAATCCAGGCTGATAATATGTACACTAAGTTTGAGACTGACACAAATTAGGTGAACTGAAATGTTTTAGATATAAATATTTTAAAACCTTTTAGATCCCAAATGATTAAGAGCATATGTGCAGACATAAACATTACAAATATATTTAAAAACCATTATCTAGTATGCCTCAAGCATTATATAGATTTCATTTATAATTTTGCAAGTTTTAATTATGTAACACCACCTACAGCTATGGAAAGGCAAGATAAACATTGCCATGAGAATGAAGTAAGTAAAAATGACTATTTTAAATCAAGTCTACCTTAAGTTACGTGCCAAGACTCATGTTTAGAATTCTGCATTGCCTCTCTTAAGTTGAACTCAGCATTAACACAAAGAGAATGCAGGGAAACATTTTGGTCTGCATTCTTGTTTGGGATTAACTCTTCCAAGAGAAACACAGAAATCTAACTGCACGTCTCGACAGGTAATAACAGACTATTTATCCCCTATATCCATGTGCAGAGGGGATCCTCTGCATGTGGAACACCTCTTTTCTAACTTAGTGTGCTAACCTCTCTCCCCAAAACCCCATGGGCAATAAAATGAAAAGGTAAATTCTCAGGATGCATTGCTTAGAGCCATGGAACCCTCCCACTTGGCAATGCCCTACCAAATAAAAGTTCTGGGGAAAATTCCCTGGAGGGGAACTTCATTGACCCACCGACATTTAAACACTCATGATCTTCAAAGGACTTTACAAATATTAGTGTTGTGATTCCTCCAGTCTTTAAAAGCTGAACTCCAATTGAGGATTATGAAATCAGAAGAATTTTAGGAAAACTGATACTGTCTCTCTTTCAGTCCCCCACCATATGTTGTCAATGGCCTACCCATCTAATTTTTACATCTTCTGCACCCCATCCTGGCTAGCCATCTGCATGTCCTCAGGGAGACATGAGCCATGTCTCTTTGAGAAACATTATGTAAATGAATTAACTTATTAAGGTAAAAAAAAACCACTTGTTTTGAAATATTTTGTTTTATAAAGCAATTATTTGAATTCTTATCAATTCATACAATAGAAATTCCATTACTAATTCAGGATCTATTATTTAAGAGGAAGGGTGATCTAGAATATAGGGAACTGGAATGGGATTAGGAGAAGTAGGTTCAATTCCCGGCTCCACCACAGACTTCTTCTGTGCTCTTGGATTAGACACTTAAGATACTTTGATCTAGATTCACAAAAGGACTTAGACACTAGGTCCCACTGTGATTCACAACCCCTCCACTGTCCCAAGCTGCCACCAAACCCTGTAGGGAATTAAACTCACTCAACTCAGAACTCACCTGCCAGACTGGACACCATATACAAACTCACACAACTGCCAGAAGACCTTCCTCATAAGTTGGGATCTGGAAGATCCTTGGTGCAAGTCCCCACTCTGCCTGATGGAAAGAAGGGATCTGAACAGGGATCTGCCACCTCTCAGGAGAGTGCTCTAACCACTGGGCTACAGGATATTCTGATGTGGGGGCTCCCTCAATCTGTCCTATTTAGGCTATTCCACTGTGGATAAATAACGAAAGAGTCACTTGGCTAGAGAGAGATTGAGTAAGCACGAGAATGACTCTGTAGCTTGGTGATTAAAGCAGTCTCCTGGGAAGTGAGATACCCAGAATTCAGTTCCCCTGATCCAATGACTATTTGAATTATTCATCCATAGTGGAACTGTTTCAACAGGAGAGACTAATGGACCCCTCACATCAGAATATCCCATAGCTCAGTGATTAGAGCACTCAGCTGAGAAGTGGCAGATCCCTGTTCAAATCCTGCTCAGGTGGAAGGAGACTTTAACTGAGGGTCTCCCTAACCACTAAGCCAGGTTTTTGTGAATCCCATTCTTAGGCACCTATTTCTCCCTCATTCAATGTATAAGGAGCTTAGGCACCTAACTCAGGCTTCATGAATCCCAATGATTTTCTAGGTGCCTAAATGTCAGGCATGGTGACACTCACTGTCACCACCCAAGTAGTCCCTTACCTTACAAGTGTGTCAAGAGGATAATGAGATGCCTACATATTAAAGTGACGAGGACCACACAAGTACCTGGACAGATAGACGGGAAAATGGCACGTTCCTCTAAATCAGATAAGCTATCTTAGCTGTACACATATAGGGTTTGAAGATGCAGATAGGTGGGCATGTCAAAATGATGGTTAAGATTTAAAAGGGACATTTAAAATATGGCTATAAAAATCTTTTCAGATTGATTTCATGGGATACTGTATGCATTAAAGGGTATGTGTGGGCAGATTCATTTGCAGGATCAGGGACTAGAACTGTGAAAGGAGTTTCTAAGTGGAAACAGTAATTGCTTCTTCAGTACAAGAACAACAAGGTGCCATTGCACAGTTGGCCACACATATGCTAAATAAAATAAAATCCAATTTGGATTCTCCTGGCATTTCTGAAAGAGATTTTTTTTTAAATAAAACACTGGTATGAATCAATCTAGATGGAAAACAAATATTTAAGTGTCCAGCTAATCATTTCATTTTATTTAAATTTAAGACAGATAGAGATTATACAGACATAAAAACTTGCTCCAGGGCTTTACAAAATCCCTCTCCAAAATGAAAGTAGCACAAAATGATAAGCTAAGAAATTCAGTTTTAGATACTTTCCCTTCTTGAGAAAAACAGACACAAACTTCAACAAAATGAAAAGTCACAATTCTGAGATTTGATAAATAAGTGAGACAATTAAATTCGTAAGTGCTCCAAATGTCATCTGATAAACAAGACACAGACCTGTTAATAAAATTAGCTTGTTCAAAGAAGAGAGGCACCCACTGTATTCATCAATTAATGTCCATGCACAATATCAGTGAAAGCAGACTGCAATGAGTGTCTTGTTACAGAACATAATAGATATTATAGGGATCCATGAACCCATAGCAGAACAGACTTTAAAATGTGACTCTACTCTATTACAATGACAACATCAGCAACTTCTAACTAAAATTCAAACCATTCCACTTCAAATGCAGTTTTAAAGTTTCAATTCGAGAAAGACTTCGCCACAAAGCTCTTAGTTAGGCTCTGATATTAAGGGTTTGGCATTAGATATAGGTAATTTCATAGCCTCATTAAATTTCTTCTCAAACTGTAGCGATTTTCACAATTAAAATACGCACCCAGTGAAGACAGCACAAAAAGTTAAGGTTAATTATATTTTATCCTGTGAATGCCATTCCTTTTCGAGGCAAAATTACTTTGCTCATTAAAGTTAGTTGCTTTTTTTTATTCCAGAAGGATATCGACTGCTTCAGAATTCTGTTTCTCGTATATTTCAGTCCTACTGAAGTAAATATTTTAAGACAATGGGATTTGGTCCTACAGCAGCGGTCTCCAAACTTTTCAGGGTCGTGCCCCCCCTTGCCCTTGTGCCCCATCAAAATTTCTAATTTATTTATATATATATATATATATATATATATACACACACACACACACACACACACACACACACACACACACTCTAGGACTAGTAGTAAGGTCTAAGGCCCCAAGCTTGCAAAGACTTACATATGGGATTAATTTTAATGATGTGAGTAGTCCCCCTGAGTTCAGCATGTACTTGCCTTTGCAGGTTCAAAGCCTAAAAGGGAAATTTTAAGCTAAGTATTACACTGAAACTCATATTTCCTCAGACATGGCCACTTTCTGACCATAACCCTCCTTCATCCTGCATTCTTGCAAGTGCACAGGGGGGCTTGTGACTAACTACCACACAGCACTACAACTTCTAAATGCTTAATATTACTTGTATCCATGTAGGACTTCCAGTTACATGAACTTCAGAGCAACAACTCTGCACACTTTGCTGTATGCTGCACAACTAAGTCCTCAAACAAAAAAATTACTGAATTTTCTGTTTGAAGACAAAAAAAAATGCAGTAGTTGTATGTTGGACTACCAAGACAACAACCTCCACGGTTAGCTAGGTAAATCCTGACAGTGCATTACCTTTTTATTATGAAACAATTCTATCCCAAGAGGGTTACAATACCTTCCCCTATTACAAAGCATTGCATTAAGGAATTATAATAAATATTATTTTTAAAATGTAGTCACATCAACTTTACTTTCTCTTTCTGTTGAGCTCATTGCATGCCACAATGCAGGGTCAGGGCTCTGGGAGCCTTCCCTGTTTCAGGGGTTGCAGAGACTGAACTTG